TCAAAGAAATCCATGTTTCTCACCAACCATTGTAGCTGTGAATGCAAAGCCAAGTTCTCAGGATCTCTTAGTTTCTAGACACAAGCTATGCTGTAAAGGAAACTCATGAGGGCAGCAGAAGGAACAGGGCATATACATGAGTGTTCATTAGTCTGAAACCATATGACTCACCTGAGTAGTGCCTGTGACGTTTTATGTATAGTAAAATTTAAAATGGTTAGGTCTAGTTAGAAAAGTAGGCACCTGAGCTCCAGTTGCTTGATGCCCAAGAGGGCCCAAGTTCAAAGTTTGAGCCCCTTTGCCTGAGAAAAGGTTTAGGGGAAAAAAGGCTTTTAAACATTTTTTCTTTGTCAATGGGGCAAGCTGCCTGAAATTCTTTAAATGCTCCAGCAAAATTGCCCAGCTGGTTTAGGCTAGTTGGGTCAAAATGGGGAAAAGGTGTCCCCTAAAGTGTTCTTAGCCAAATTTATAAGAGAACTAAAGAGTGGGCCCAGCTGGAAACTTATCATTTAATTAGAATGTTAAAGATAAAAATTCCCAGGGCAGGCGAGCTAGCAATCTTGGCTCTTGGTAGCTGCCTGGAGGGGGTGAATAGCTGGAAGGGAAAAAAGCCTTGGGGTCATACAGGTTTAAAGCATGCATGGGACATCAGACACATGGTGGGCTGGCAGGCAGGTACACAGCAGGGAGTAGAAAGCTTTAGTATGGGAGGGGGAGAGAGAGGAGAAGGATACAGAGCTTTTGTGTGTGTAGGATTGAACGGTACCAGAAATCATCCAGAGTAAGATGAGGAAGAAAGGCAGTGGAAGAGGACAAAGACAGGAAGAGAGGGTGGAAGACAGCAGGAAGACAGCAGAGCTTGCAGGCCCATGGCAAAGGAGGGGGGGAGGGGGCAAGATGCTGGTGGGGGAACCAAGGTAGTGAACGGATGAAGCAGGTCCATCACGGAGACCACAGTGCTGTCCCAGAGTGGTGAAAATCAATGGGAAAGAACAGAGCTTGCAGGCCCATGGCAAAGGAGGTGGGGAGGGGGCAAGGTGCCGGTGGGGGAACCAAGGTAGTGAACGGATGAAGCAGGTCCATCACGGAGACCACAGTGCTGTCCCAGAGTGGTGAAAATCAATGGGAAAGAAGATCAAAAGAAGTAGGCAAGGCAGAGTGTTTCCCAGTGAGGAGAACCAGAAAAAGCTGAAAGCAAAGCAGAAGGGTGGAGAGAGGAGGACAGAGAAAAGAAGTGTACCTGAAAGCCAAGTTAGTGGTGTTGAAGTCCAGGTGGGTCCCTTGAAGTAAGAACCGGATTTTGGCACCGTCTGATAGATTAAAAAGTAGCAAGCTGAAAGCAAAGGAGAGGGGTGGGGAGAGGAGGACAGAGAAAAGAAGTGTACCTGAAAGCCAAGTTAGTGGTGTTGGAGAAGTCCAGGTGGGTCCCTTGAAGTAAGAACCGGATTTTGGCACCGTCTGATAGATTAAAAAGTAGCCGTATGACAAATAGGGTTGATCAGGAGGAAGCACCAGGACACAGATAAAACTCTATCAAAATAGGGTTTATTAGCAAAGGAACACATGTGACAGAGTCCCTTGCGGGCAGGGAAAATGTCTGCCCGGGTCTTGAGCTGGGGTTTTAAAAGGGAGGCTTCTGCTTCCTGTAGAAGGTGGGAAGATGTATTTTTAAGTTGGGCTGGGGGGGAGTAAGAGAGAGGGACTGTTAAAACCTGTCCTGTTTAGAGATCGGAGGGGAAGCCTGCTCTGTTGGCCAAATAGTGGAGGAAAGTCTGCTTCTCTTGACTTCAAAGACGAAGTTGCTTATCAGCTATGTTCCCTTTTCTCAGGGGAATGAGAAGTCCTTGGGATCCTGTTGGTGAGGGGGAAGGGATAAAGAGGAGGGTCAACACAGAGGAAACATTTCCTCCATGCTTCCAAGTGAAGCCCTGGTGAAGCAGGACCTCTTGACGTATCTTCACATAGATGGAACTGGTAAAGAAAAGCCTGAGGAGCCAGGGGCTCCCCCTAATCCCATGTGACCCCTGAGGTCCAATTCCTCATAAGACCTTAAGAGTAAAAATAAATTCATTTATTTGGGCCAACAGTATGGTCTTAAACACCGGAAAGGAAAGTATAACCAAAATTATAGTCATCAATATGTTTTAAGGGTTCAGGGGATTACACATCTCAGACACATATGTTGGCTACATGGAAGATATAGATAGTTTATTCTGCTTCTCTGGAGCGGACCAAATCCTCATAAGACCTTAAGAGTAAAAATAAATTCATTTATTTGGGCCAACAGTATGGTCTTAAACACCGGAAAGGAAAGTATAACCAAAATTATAGTCATCAATATGTTTTAAGGGTTCAGGGGATTACACATCTCAGACACATATGTTGGCTACATGGAAGATATAGATAGTTTATTCTGCTTCTCTGGAGAAATGTGAAAGTCACAGTGTTTTAGTAGGAATTCCTACAACAATGTCCTTTCAAGAGTTAATATTTTCAGATAGAAACTGCTTCATAATGAGATGGCTTTTCATAGGTTTTCACATTGTCCACTAAATGTATGGAAGTTTTGAATTCCATAATTATAGAAGCTAATATGGTATTGTTGCAACTTGATTATGCTGCCATGGTTTATGTGTAGGTATTACACTTAATTTGAAAATTAAAAGAAGCCTAGGAACAAAAATCAATTTAATAAAATTTAATAAGACTTTATGATGAAAATTCTCAACAAATTAGGGACTGAAGTACAGTATCTTAACATAATAAAAATTATATGTGAAGAAGCCCCCACTGACCTCACATTACATGGGAAAAGGCTGAGTTTACTGAAGATCTGGGTATCCACTTTCACTATTTCTTTTCAACATTGTACTGATAGTCTTAGCCAGAGCCATTAAGCAAGAGACAGAAATTAAAAACACCCTAATTGGAAAGAAGAAAGTGACATTACTGCTACTAGCAAAGTACACTGGTTTATATGTAGACAACACAAAAGACTGAACGGAAAGACTGATAGGACTAAAACATTTGTTCAGTAAAGTATCAGGATATAAAATCAATTTTAAAATGAATTTTAAAGGATTTTTACATTTATTTCTTTATTTGTTTTTGTGCATGTTTGTGTATGCATGGGGGTCCATATATGCTGTGGTGTTCTTGTGGGGATCAGAGGATAATTTGTAGGAGTAAGTTCTCTCCTTCTACCATATGAAATTTGGGTCTTAAACTCAGGTCAACAGGTATGGTGCTAAATGTCTTTACCCACCAATCTATCTCCACAGCTGAAAAAAATGCATTTGATAGTGGAAAGGAAGGAGAGAGAAAGAGGAGGGAACAAAATAAAAATGTATATCCTTCTGTACATAAAGGAAAGAAATACATTGCCATCAAACTAGTAAAAATTTAGTTCATAAAACTACAGATTTTTAACTTCTCTATAAAAAAGATAGTGATCCTTTAGAAGTTGAGTCAAAGCTAAGGGCTGACAGCATGAAGAGATAGTAAATGCTGCCTCCAGAATTTCCCAGAAAATTGTTGAAAACTAAAAGAACCATTCAGCTGTCTTGAGAGACAAGTTGAAGCTGTGTTAGACACTAACTGCCTTCTCCAATTTTTCCTTGAACCAACTGTAAAAGTGATGAATCTTCTAGAACCATTCACATCTTTAAGCTCCTTCTCTGCCTAGAAACAGATGTCTTCATTTCAAGATCACTTTGGGTGGAATTCATCCCACATCACTTTTCCTCACCATAATCTATCTAGACCCCAAATGCCCTTCTCAACACTCCTCAAAGGGAAATATTGTAGTTTGGGCAGAGAATCGTCCCAAACCCTAAGCTGGTGCTCTGCCTATCCTAAGGAGTAGCCTTTAATCTCTTCTACAATAGCTACAAAAAGTCTTCTGTTCAAGTTTCTCATCTCAAAAATTTCTTAAATGATCATTACCCTTCAAAGATCAAATGGAATCACCACTCTCTGTGAAGACTTCCAATGACATTTAGCCTGCAAGACTTCCCAGGAAGTCCTCTCGCCTACCATATTTACAGAGCACTATAGCATTTAATGACAAGCAAGAATGTTCAAGAAAATATGTAATTAGCATCAACAGTCAGCCTGCATGTCAGCCATTGTCAACTTGCTTCACAGTTTCCTATAGAAATAATGTTTCACCCAGACACACCTAATTAGCAGGTGAAAAACAGGAGGACAGTAACACGACACGAAAGGACTTGAGCAAACAACTTCTTGCAAAGTAAGTGAGCAGATTCTTCTTATATCCCACAAGCAAAACAAATTTTTTTTAAAAAAATAGTGTAAATTTCATTTTAAGTTGAAATAAAATTCTAATATTTAAAGGAAAGTAAGCCTGCCTTTTAGAGGAAGCTAGTAAAAATATTTGTGGACATGTTTAAAATTTTCTCAGCAGTCTCAAAAGTTTTAGAAATTGAAGCTAATTTTTAATATCTGATTTTATTTCAGAAATAATAGTTTTTCCCTAATCCTCACACCATTATTGCCCTTAATGCCTTAGTGTGGGAAGAGTACAGTCTTGATACACATAAGAAGCAAATGTACTCTGACTACTTTCACTAAATTATGAAATTACAGAATACAAAGAGGCATCAAAATCACAGAGCAGCTTGTGAGCCCCTGGTTCTCAGGATCTTTGCCATACACTTCTCTCAGAAACTCTTCTGTCCTGTCTGTGATTCTTTCTGAGAAGCTTCAAAACCAGGAGATGGGAACTATGTTCAGAGTTACATCTAGCGCCTATGCATCACTGGATATTTGTTTTCTGGTCTAAACTGAAGGGAAATTACTCCACCAGTGAACTACATCTGCAGCTGATGCCCTTTTCCTTTTAGAATAAAATTGTGTTATTTCTGAGACACAACATCTATGAAAGGGCTCTGGCCATCACCAAACTGCAGGATCAGGCACCTTAATTTCTCAATATCTTTATTTTTAATTTTATTTTCTATAATTTTTGCAGGCTTTAAAAAAATATGGAAAGCTTCACTAAATTGCATGTCATTCTTGCCCAGCGACTGTGCGAATCTTCTTTGTATCATTCCAATTTTAGTATATGTGCTGCCAAAGTTGCACAGTCTCTCACTTTTAAAATGAGGGTCTTGGCAATGAACTCTAAGTTTTCTTTCAATTAAAAATGCTGTCATAGGAAAGACACCAGTGAAATCTCCAGAGTATGGTAGTTTTACAATCTGCATAATGACAAAAATTAGATGGTATGCCAAGGTAAATAGGGGAAATTTCATGGGATCCCACTTCTAGATGAAGAGCTACAGGCAATCAATAGACGCTAAGGGAGGGAGAACCAGTTTTTCTTCAGGGACTAGCCCTGAGAATTTATGTAATCCCAAGTGGACAGTCTTAAACTGAAGTAAATGAGAGTACTGCTAAATGGACCCAGGGATAGATAGATGGTAGATGATAGATAGATAGATGATAGATGATAGATAGATAGATAGATAGAATAGATAGATATAGATAGATGATAGAGATTGAGAGATAGATGATAGATGATAGAATGATAGATAATGATGATGATGAAGATGATAGATACATACATACATACATACGTAGATGATAGATTGATACCAGTATTTATAAATGTATGTATATGCAACAATAATAATGAAAGGAAAGCACGAGAAATTGAGAACTGAGGAGGACATAGGAGGAGTTGGAAGGGGATTGGGAGGATGAAAATAATGCCAGTATAACACATATGAAATTCTCAAAAATAAAATAAAATGTTATCATAACACAAGCATGGTAACACAAAAGTATAATCCCAACTGGACAATGTGGTGAGATTCTGTATCAAAATAAAAAGTAAAAGAGGGCTGGGGATACATCTCAATAAGAGTGCTTGCTTACCATGTATGGGGCCCTAGGTTCCATCACTAATAATGACAAAAAATGCTGTCATTCCATGGACAGTCCTTCAGAAATAATCTTGTCTCACTCTCCCATTTTACTGCTGAGTAAACCAAAGAAAGAGGCTGTGAGATGTGCCAAAGATTGCAAAATATTTCTTTCAGTGTCATCATTGAGACCTGGCCTTGGTAAGACTTGAGACTGGTTCTTACAATGCCACTCAAAGGGCTCTAGATCAAGAATGCACCAGAGTTGAGCATGGGGTGCCTATAAGTCCTGCACAAGGGAGGCTGAGGCAAAAGATACTGCCAGTTCAAAGACAACCTGGACTCCATAGTGAGTTCCAGGCCAGTCTGAGCTACAAAATGAGAGCCTGTCTCCAAAAGACAAACACAAAGCATCAGAGCCCCTTTGTGATTGCCACTTGGTGTTTGGGCAGCATCTTATCCCCAATGCTCCCACCCACTTTCTTTATTCCACTGGTCATTAACTTATGGGACCATGAGCCAGAAAAACTGTAAAACATTCAGAAAGACAAGATCGTCTATGCTGGATTAAAGAGAAAAATCTCAGGAAGATAGACTGAAATCCTGAGGAGAGATATGGAATGGTCCAGGCACAGTGGATGCAGGTTGATTCCCTGTGCAATCAATCAGTGGAGAATTAAGAATTAGGAGGGTAGGGGAGAGCAGGTATCTTGCATGCAGTTTGAGCTTCTGGAAGACAAGAAAGGCTTTTAATTTTTGTCTACATGTATTCTAAATGGTATATCATGTTCTTTCCATTGTAACATCACGTTGATGCAGGTCTCAAAATTGGATAAATGTGTTCATGTACCATTTGTTTTTAAATTTTGGTTAGCATTACAAGATAAGCAATCTCCACAAGGCTACCTGGATCCCAGATGCTAAAGTTATACCCACCCCCCAATGTATCTTTAGTTCAACCATTGCCTCATCCATGATGCCCTCCTGACTCCTTCTGTTAAGATGCAAACATTCCTCTCTTCTATAACATTTTAGATTTAGGATGTCACACATTCTAGTTCCCTTCCCTCCAGACACACAGTTGGTCATCTTCTTTCAACCAACCACTGCACTCAAAATGGAATGTGAGCAGAAAACTGAATAAGCCAGCAGATGATCTTCAATGCAGTAGTGAATGGTGGAGCCTCCCTCAGGCTACATCCAAAAGCAAGGACACAGAAAGTACAGTCTCCAGTAGACCCATGATAGGTACATAAAGCACCCCCAAAATAAACACACGAGTGTGTTAGGACTTCGGGGGTTTTCTATCTCAGCATTACCTAGCCTTCTCACTGGATATGTGATTTAAATGAACCGTTCTTTTCTTCTTTTTGTATGTGTTCATATCAAGTTTCTTCTTTAATCACTTCTCTGCCTTATTTTTTCATATGATATATATTTTATTGAATTTTGTGCGTTTCATACAATACATCTTAATCATATTCAGACCCCTCTGCTGTCGGTATTCTCCACAGCATCCCCCCACTGGATTTCATGCATTCTGTCAATTATGTTAAGACCTATCAAGTCAAGCTTATGTCTCCAGATGTCCCTTGGTGTGTTTATCCACTGGAGCCTGGTCAGTCTATCTAGTGTCACTCCCTTAAAGAAAAACAAGTCTTCCTCACCCATCAGTGGTCAGTTGCCAATAGTTCCTCAGCTAAGGTTGGGGCCTCCAGTCATTTCCCCAGTCCAATGCTGGGTTTTTGTCTGGTGTAAGTTTGCATGGGTCTTGTGCACGCTGTCACCATTG